CGAGGAGGCTGGTGGCCAACCCAGTGTTTCCAGCTTGAGGTCCATGTTGGTCCTAAGTGACCTGTCTTCAAGCTTCAAACTTGGGGGGTTTATTTGGGTGGGGAGCTCTGGTGGCCTGGTCAGTAGGGAGTGGCACTGCTGACTCCTAGCCAGCCTCAGGCAGTTCAGATACACCAGCAGCTCTGCAGGAGAAAGCCGGGCAGTCTCCTCACATGACGTCCAGCCTCCCACACACAGCAGGGTCAGCGAAAAGGCAGTTCTGACCCGACAGCAGAGTCATTTAGTTTGTTTGGAGTGGCTGGTGAGGACAGTAGAGATGAGGGTCACGAGGGCACCAGCCCGGGGAAGGCACGCGCACCTCCTCCCGTGGGTGCGGGTCCCCCAGTGGGGGAGCAGAGTGGTGCTTGCGGGATCCCTGCAAGTCCTTGCCGCCTCTTGTTCAGCTGCTCTCTCCTCTCCTCCCAGGCCGTCAGAGACACCGCGCTGTCCAGAACGGTGCTGTTTGGAGCTTCCGCCTGTGTCTCGGAGATCTTGACATCCTTTTTCAAGAGGTAAGAGGTCTGCTCACCTGCCCAGGTGAGAGGCAGTGCCCAGGTGAGAGGCAGTGCCCAGGAGTCGTGACTGTGTGCTCACGGCAGCTGTTTCCATTGCCTGTCTGTGGATTGGTGGGAGCCTGTCAAGGAGCCCCGCTGGCACAGTGGTTGAGTGCTTGGCTGCTAACCAAAAGGTCTGCGGTTCAAACCCACTAGCTGCTCCATGGCAGAAAGATGTGACTGTCCATGTTTCCATAAAGATTTAAACCTTTGGGGTCCCTGTGAGTTGGCATCCATACCACAGCTGTGGCGACTTTTAGGGAACCAGGCGTGGGCCTACCCAGCTAGTGTCGAACCCCTGTGCCTGAGCCCGTGCTCCTGTGCGCTCAGTGGCGCCCCTTCTCTTGCAGGACACAGCTTTTCCTGCAGCGCCCGTCGTCCTTGTGGGCCATGAAGCTGTCCTGCAGCATCCTGGGCATGGCGCTCATGGTGCCTGTCTCCTTCAGTATGTTCCCACAGGTTGGACAGGTAAGTGCCCCCAGTGTCCCCCCACTCCCCAAGCACTCTCGGTCCCCTACGGGCTATGGTGACTGGTGCTGACTCAGAGGGGACAGAATTCCCAGAGGCTGGAGCAGAGACATGAGACCATCTTTGTCCTGACGCCGGAGCCACCTTGTTATTTGGGGGACATTGGGAATGCCCTGTGGGGTCTAGGAAGACACAGAAGTGACAGAAGTGTGCTCTGGCCCTGTGGGGGAGGTCGCTTACTGAGCCCAGGGGTGGGAGGGAGCCCACCGGTGGGCAAAGACTTTCAGGGTGGACCAGGCCCCCTGCCCAGCTGTGCATGCAACCCTGTTTGGCCAGAAAGGCGCCTCTGTTGGGAAATCTGAGCGTGGCAGAGGCAGGCAGCATTTATCAGAGTGTCTTCCCTGTGGTGGGGGGGTGTCATTTTGTGACTTGGTCATTTGTAGGTAAAGTGGTGCATCTGAGCATGGTCTTAAAAGTACCTTCCCAATCCCAAATCCTGACTCCCCAGGACTGAGAGGAACTGGCCCTTGGGCTTTCCAGGGCTGCCATTTTATGGACGCAGACTGCCTCAGCTTCCTCCCCTGGAGCAGAGGGTGGGCTTGAACTGCCAGCTGTCGGGTGGCTGTCGAGCTCTTTCATCACTGTGCCACCAGGACGTGATTAAGTGCTTTACCAAAATCAAACCAAACCTCCTGCTGCCGACTTGATGCTGACTTGTGTGGTTCTGCACTGCATTTCCGAGGCTGCAATCTTTGCAACAGGGGACACCCGTCTGTCTCCCTCGGAGAGGCTGGTTGATTCAGTCGGCTGATCTTTCATTTAACAGCCTGATGTTGTTAGGACTCCGTTTAAATTGCCTGATGGCCTGGTCTGTAGGAAGTCATGATGTTAACCCAAGGATTCACCAGCAGCTCTGAGAGCAAGACGGGCAGTCATCTTCTGTGCAGTTCAAAGCCTCAGGAACCCAACGGAGGCTTAGTTAGGTGTCAGTTCCAGCGCTCCAGCCGAGCTTGGTTTAGCTGGGCAGCAAGGCACACACACCTGAGTGCGGGCAGTGCTTGATGCTGTTAGATGGGTGATGGCATAAACCTTATACCTGAGGAGTCGTTGTCTTATCTGCCTACGTTTGGTTACGCTGAAATTTCCCATAGAAAGTATGTCCTGGGTATTTGTTGTAGATTGGGCATCGTTAAAAATGATAGATAGTAGCTGCCTTTGTAATGGGTTTTAACTTGGCTTCAAAGGCAGGTGCTCTAAGACTAAGACACGAACTCTGCTTTTCAGATGCAGAGCAGTCAGCTTGAAAACGAGATTCGGTCTTCGACAGAAGAAACGGAGCTCTTCTATAACAGGGGGCTATAGAGGCCAGGCGGACAGGAACCCCAGATGTCTGCACAGACAGGCGCCTTTTCTGAGGCCCCTGGGACTGCTTGTGCCTGGGGTTCCTGAACCTGGACAGGAGAAATGGGGTGTGCTGACACCCCTGCAAGGTTTCTATGGGGTCTGGTGTAATAATCAGTTTTCTGTTCATTGTGAAAGTAAACTCTAATTACTGGTAAACTTATGGACCTGGAAAACACCTACTGTGTGGAGGAGGCTGAACAGTCAGCATGGGCCGGTAAGGGATGGGGGTTGGTTGCCTGGACCCACTTGCTGTGGCCTGAGTGGGGAGGGTCCTGCAGCCCCAGAGCATCTCTCCCTCGGGCCCAGGGCTCCTCTCCCATCGACCACCCGACCCTGCCGGTGTCAGTGCAGATCCCAGGGCAAGGACATTACACCGCAGCACAGGCCCCCTACAAACGGAGCTCCTGGGTGACGGCGGTTGCTGTTCCCCACGTGTCGTATCCATGCTTCACTCATCCCCGCTCTAGTCCGAGTGGAGTTAGTCTTTGGTGGTTTGTTGTTTTGGGTTTTTTAACCACACGGAGGGCTTCTTAGCAGTGCTGCAGCAAGTTTTGATTTTCCCAACTGACCTCACTTTGTGTCGGTGTCACATTAGTGCACACGTAACAGACTACAGCAGTGCACAGACACGCTTTTTATGCACTTGTTAGGTGCCATCGAGGACACTGTGACTCCTAGCAACCCTCGCAACAACAGATCGGAGCCCTGCCCTATCCCGTGCCGTCCACACCATACACTGTGCCCACTGCGGCAGTCACTGTCAATGCATCTCATCAGGGGTCTTCCTCTGTGTGGCCGACCCACCAAACATGATGTCCTTGTCCAAGGACTGGCCCCTCTGGACAACATAAACATGTAACATCTGCTCAAAATATGTTGGATGAAGCTTCATCATCTTTGCCTCTAGGAAGCACTTTCTCCAAGACATACACGTTCTTTTAGCAGTTCATGGGATACTCAGTACTCTTCGCCAACACCACAGCTCACAGGCCTTGATTGTTCTGTCACCCTTAGTCGCTGTCTAATTTTCAGATGTATAACAATTGCAAAGACCAGGGCTTGAATCAGTAGTATTTAAACTGACACCATTGTTTTTTAACATCTTAAAGAGTATACAGCTAGGAAACAAACACCCTCCTGTGGCTCGCTCAGTGTGCCAGTCACCTCGCTGTGGGACTCACCTGCAGTATTTCTGAGGCTCATCATAGGCTTATACTGGAACCTGTCATCCTCACCTGGCTCCAGGTCCCTTCTCCTCATGAGGACGCGTAACCAGAGTTGCACTGTCAGCCCAAAGGCCGCGCCCCTCTCTGGCAGTCTGATTCCCCCAGCAGCGCTGTGGGTGAAAAGGTGGGCAGTTTCCTTCCAAGTAATTTACACCCTTGGAGACCCAGTGGAGGGTTGGCTGAGTCAGTTCTGTCTCCACAGCCATGAGCAAACCTGCTTCACAGTGCAGACCATGGCCGCTGGCAGGCATGCAGCCTCCTGGCCCGAGTCTACAAACCACCCTGCACCAGCATCATCCCTCCCTCCCTCCCTCCCAGCCCGGCTGTCCCCAGGCTCTGCGCCGTTTCCTCAGGGCCTCATTCTGTGGTCCCTGCGTCCTCTCTGGCTTCAGTCTCTGCTGGCTCATGATTTTAAATTACTTGAGTCACTAAAATGCCGGCTGAAAAATCTCATCTGCAATCAGGCTTGTTAAGAGTTGTTCACCCCAACATCCACACCATTCAGCCTAGTCCTCTTGCAGGGTCCACTACCCACTCACTCTGCATGTCTCAGACCCATTTCCAGGTCTCTTCATCCTGGAGAGAGTTAAACCAGGCTGCTCCTTGGAAGCAAGGATTCTGGGGCTTCGTCTGACATACTTTGGACATGTTCTAAGGAGGGACCTTGGAGAAGGGCATCATGCTTGGGAGGGTGGAGGGACGGCACAGAAGGGGAAGACCCTCTATGAGGTGGACTGATTCAGTGACTGAGGTATTGAGGATGGGTGTGTCAGAGGCAGTGAGATTGGCACAGGATAGAGCAGGGTTTAAGGGCTGTTGTACATAGGGTCGCCATGAGTCGCAAGCGACTCGATGGCACATAACAACACACTTCAAACTCAACTCCCAAACTTCAGCCAGTGGCACTATTAGTCCAGTTGTGGAAACCTGCATCTGGGGGTTCACCTCTTCCCCTCCCACTGCCCCCATAACCATCCAGCAGATACACCCTGAGAAATCACTGTGGTTGCTGCTACCAGCACAGCTCAGCCCAGCAGCACCCCCTGCTGGTACTGCTAGCAACAGCACTCAACCTGGCTGGCTGTTGGAGCCTGCTCTTCAACCCACACCTGCAATACACCAAACTTCCCAATGTGTCAAGTTCAAGTCCAGATTTCCCTCCCACAGCAGCCTAGAGCCTTATTCATCTCTTGCTACTCTTTGCTCATTCTGGAACAAGCAGTCTCTGAAAAGGGCCATGATCTTTATAGCTTCATGCAAGTTGCTCCCTCTGTCCTGCGTCACCCTTGCTTATGCTTTAGGTGGAACTTGTCCATCACCCTCTCCAGGAAGCCCACCAGGATCTGCAGTGTTGAGTCAGGTACTGCTACTGTGGTGCTTCCACAGCTTCTGTGGTTCCTGTACGACATCTGTCCCTTGCCACCCTGTAGTGCAGGGGTCCTCCTGTGGACTGTGCACCATGAGTGCAGGCGCTAAGACTTGCCCACCAAGGATAGCCCAGAGTACAGCACAGTCGGTACCAAACCTTGTGGAAATGGATGCTTCCCAGCACACCCTCCCCTAATCACCAAGCTCTTGGCTTGCTTTTCCCTGAACCAGAATGATGGTTGGTTCAAGATTTGTCCAAGGGGTTTTGCAGTATCCTACAAGGACAGAACTTATAACCAGACAGTACCCTATATTCACAAACTTACAAGGAAAGGAATTAAAGACAGAAAGCAAGAGTAGGCTGGGGCACCAAGTGGGACTTGGCCACCAACAGATGTGTGTAGAAATGTGAAGACCCCTTTCCAAATGGGAGACTTCACCCCCAATCACTGCTGGAAGGCAGGGTCCGGAGGGGGAAGGAGTCTGGCAGACTAAGCGTTTAAAGCACCTGACTGGACAGCGGGGGTGGGTGGGTGGGGGTGGGTGGGTGTGTGTACGTACGTGTGTGCAGTTGTTGAGGCTGGGAGGAGAGTCAAAATACTGCCATTTCTTCATCATAAATTTGTCATTTTACAGTAATACCAAC